CATCCCTCCCGAATAGCTGCACCCACACACACAACGTGAGTTTTCACTTTTGTGCAAATTCTACGCTGAAAACAGTTTAGAAATGGATTTGACTTGACCTTCGTGCGCACACGTGCACTCACAGAATAACTGGCTGCTTCAGCTTGCAGACTCACTTCCTGTGCGACACACACACTTACACACACATACTATTTACTAAAACTGGGTATTTCCTCCCCTGGGCAATCAGTCTTTATACAAGGCTTCATTTTTTCTCGCTTTCTTTTTCTTCCCCTCGTTCCCTGTCCGTCCCCTCATTCAGGCTTTCTAGGATTTCTAGGATTTCAGCAATTTGCCAAGTCTACCCAGATTGATGCTGATTCAGTTACAGCTGAATCAATGAGGCAGAGCAATTGAGAATTCAGAATTATTTCAAGTGTTTATATTTTGGGATGATTTTCAAAGCAAACATATTCTTTTTTTTTTTTTAAACTATGTTAAAAATGTTTTAGAAGTTTATTTATAAAAAACAAAAAAAACAACCCCCATGACCCATCCATCCATCCATCCATCCATCCATCCATCCATCCATCCACCCATCCATCCATCCATCCATCCATCCATCCATCCATCCATCCATCCATCCATCCATCCATCCATCCATCCATCCACCCATCCATCCATCCATCCATCCATCCATCCATCCATCCATCCATCTATCCATCCATACATCCATCAAAACCCCAGCTGACCAGCAAGTTCAAACCCAGAAACTTTTTTGCTGTGAGGCGACAGTGCTAACCACTGCATGCCTTTACTCCACTGGAGAATATAAGCATCACCTGTGAAGAAGCTTTCCTCTCATCCTGCCTCAGACAAAATTCAAACTGGCACCACATAAATCATAAACTGGTTTCTTTCACCATTTGGCCTCAACATAATTAAAAACACACATTTTCTTGAACCAACCTTGTCTGCAGTGAGTTCTCGAATCTTGATGATCTGCACTCTGAACTCCACCCATCCATCCATTGCTCCATCCAACCATCCACCCACCCATCCATCCATCCACCCATCCATCCATCCATCCATCCATCCATCCATGCATCCATCCATCCAACTATCCACCCATCCATCGCTCCATCCATCCATCCATCCATCCATCCATTGCTCCATCCAACCATCCACCCACCCACCCATCCATCCATCCACCCATCCATCCATCCATCCATCCATCCATCCATCCATCCATCCATCCATGCATCCATCCAACTATCCACCCATCCATCGCTCCATCCATCCATCCATTGCTCCATCCATCCATCCATCCATCCATCCATCCATCCATCCATCCATCCATTAGCTATACCAACGATCACCTATAGAGGCTTTTGGGGGCTGGAAGCTATCTCAAACATGCACACTCACATTTACAGCTAGTTTAGAATCACCAGTTAACCGATGAAACTTGTCCTTGGAGAACATGCAAACTCTACCAACAGGTTCTAATTCAGAACCTTATAGCTGTGAGGTGACGCTGTTGTCCTCGGCACCACTGTGCTGGCCTGTTATTAGCCATAATAAGGTAACTGCTTTCACAATAAAGATATTTTGTCACTCTTACAATATGATCACTGCATTTCACACATCTCTTGTTATTTGAGCGATACACTCCTATCACACAGACTGTCCTCTACCCATTACATGCTGATTCTGCTGTGCCCTCGGTGACCCGTTACCAGCCCACAGTGTTTTTCAGCACCAGAGGCCTCAGCAGTGGAATGAATCAGCACTTAAAATGACTTCTTTTTAACCCCCTCCTCATCCTTTTATGAGTCGGCCTCCAAAGCGAGATATTAGGGAGAGTTTGTAGTGACGTACATCCGCCCCCACACAGCTTTTTAAAACAACAAGCTGAGGCAGTGGGAGCCACGGTGGAGAAAAACACATCAGCAGGGGTCTGGATGTTAACGTGATGAGCTCATAGCATCAACACGACCACTCTACAGCAAACCCAAATGAGGAAAATAACGACATGTTAATTTGGCCAGTGTAGCCGACATACTGTGATAGTACGTCTATGCTGATAATAACTGACTCAAAGGCAGGTAAACACTAGTCAGCAGTATATGGCTAATTATTGTCAGCTATTAAAAATCAAATATTTACCAACCTGCTTCATTTACCTCTGACAAGATGAAACTACTTTTACTTACTAAAGAATTCAGAATGCTTTTTATTCATCCTGCATAAAACCTCAAATGGTTGATTACATTTTTTATTTTTTAAAAGAGTTGAATACAGTATATAAGATCTGTGGTCACCAGCTTTAGTTCAGACGTATTCTTGTCAGGATTGGTCCTTGAGAAAGGCTGCTGAACTCTGACTGAACTCTGGAAACTCTGGGAAATTAAATCAGTGATCCTCCGTATTTGATAAAGACTAAAGGATTACTGCTATTCTTCATCAGACCTTGGACAAACGCACAGATCCCATATTAGATGGTCCTGAGCAGGACAGTTTATTGCAGGATAACTGCTTGGATTTGGTGACGTCCACTTTTAAAATGTATTTCAAACTGCCATGACTGGACAACTCCAATATTGCCGTCCTCACTAAGATCAGGAATCCCTAGTCCACTTCTCAGATTGCTGTACTGTCTTCCTATAAGCCACAGATGGACTTTAAAATACTACTTTTGGGTTATTAAGTACTTAATAGCGTAGGACCAAAATATGTTCTGATGTGCTGCTCTGTTATTAATGATCAAGACCGCTCACGTGGTCTGGGACTAGTCTCCCTCGTGTCCCCAGATCTAAAAGTAAACACTGGTGAACTCTCAGTTCTTGGAAATCTCACAAAGCTTGTGTTTGCCACTTAATTTTGATAAGGTAAACATGGCTTGATCCATTTATATTTATATAGCAACAATAAGAAGAAGAAGGACAAGAAAAGGAAGATGAATGCATTTTGCTGGACACAAGAGACAGACAAGGCAACTAAGTTCTAAGATGCTAAACTAAGATTCAGTAAACAACCTAAAGGAGAGAAACAGATTGTGCGTTATTCTCATTTTAACAGTGTGTTTTATAGTACTGTGTGGAAAAATGCTTTAAACCTGTCAAATAGGATGGACACGGCCAAAAATGTGCAGCCGAGACTTTCACATGTGCTACGTGGGCTGCAAAAACCCACCAAAGCCAATCTTTCTTCCAAGTCTCTCCGGGAGTTTGTTTTGCTGTCCAGCTGAGCTTACTTTGACTCTGTAATTGACTGGAGCTGGGTCAATCCCATCATGCAGTGCGTGGCGGAGCCCTGTGGTCAGACTGCTGTTTACATTAGAGCTCTAATCAGCATCCCTGGAGAGCAGCTTTAGATCTAGGCCACTGAGCAGTTTGGGCCGGCCCAGTGCCGGCCAGCTGGGAGGGAGGGCCGGCTCCGTACCCACCAGACGCACCACAACTCTCTGCTTCAACGGGGATGTCTTCCTGTACTTGTGAGGGCCGTGTCTGGTGCAGTGGCCAAATCTTTTCAGAGATCGTCTGTCAAACAATGCGGTCAAAGATTCTTAATGTGGCACTGCTGACCTAAACTAAACTTTGTTCCCACATACAGTAACAATGGCTCAAAGGATCACTGTTTGACACCCAAAGGCCTTTTGGTTTTCATTTTGTCTGTCTCATTCGGGCTATTTAATGCCAGGGCTGCCAGCCGAGTGGAACTGCCTGTAGATAACCAGTCGATGGAAAACATTCCATTAAACATCATCTCCATGTGGTGACTGCAGCTGAAGGAAGAGCTGAACTGGTGGTACATTGAACTAATCATGCTTCCTACTGTCTTCATCTCATCAATGACAACGATTTAAGTGATTGATTTAAATGGTAAATGACAAACTGGCTGTTGAAACGGCAAAAAAAAGTCCCTTTCCCATCATTTATTCAAGCTAAAAACTCATCTCTCAAATTTTTTTATTGAAAAAACATCAGTTCTTATCTTACAATAGCTTTGATGTGACTATAAAGTCTCCAAGCACCCCTGTAATCAGTGCAGCTGGAGCACACCAGCCCATCTACAACTTTACTCAAACACTGAAACTACTCTAAGCTGGACCCTGGAAATATAAATCTGTGTTTTTGGACTAACCGGTACAATCTAGTTTCATGGTGGAAACGCTCTGGCAGGATGTTGACTGCTTATTGTTGCTCATGATGCATCTTCTACTATAGAAATTAACACCATGTGGCATGTTTATACTTGTTAATGCATATTGAGTTTCACCGTGGGGGGATCTTTACATTTCAAGTGTTACAGATTAAACAAACTACTTAAGCAAATGGAAACAGCTCCACCAGTGGCTGTAGCGTGTTCAAAAAAATGAAAATGATTAGATGTGTATTTAACCTTGCAAAATTGTCCACCTCTTTGCCAAATGACTCGTCTGTCTTGTACAAACCAATGTAAAGCATTTTGATCAGTAGATTCTCCCCAAACGGATGTTCGGCTCTTTCAGTCAACAAACTATAACTAGCAGTATTGGAGCAGTTCTTATCAGGCGTCTGCAGCTTTTCTTTAAATTGATAAGTATGTGTACACATTGTAGCACGACTGAGATGCTGTGAGTAATTTCATTGTGATGTCGTTAAAATGAGGTTGGGGTGACTGAAGAAGTGAGGAACCCATCCATCCATCCATCCATCCATCCATCAAGACCCCAGCTGACCAGCAAGTTCAAACCCAGAGCCTTGTTGCTGTGAGGCGACAGTGCTAGCCACTGCATGCCTTTACTCCACTGGAGAATATAAGCATCAGTACAGCTACGTCTACCATTGGAGTTAACTTCCTCCTGGTAAGAAGCTTCTTTATTCCTGGAACTGTTGTACAGACCTTTCACCTGTAAAGAACCTTTCCCCTCATCCTGCCTCAGACAAAATTCAAACTGGCACCACATAAATCATAAACTGGTTTCTTTCACCGTTTGGCCTCAACATAATTAAAAACACACATTTTCTTGAACCAACCTTGTCTGCAGTGAGTTCTCGAATCTTGATGATCTGCACTCTGAACTTCATGAGCAGCGCCTCCAGAACCATGCATTTCTCCTTCCAGTCCTCCTGGCTCATCGCCTCCTCCCCATCTGCCATGCCGCCTGACCCTCTGAAAAATACACGCAGCAGTGAGAAACAGGGAACCAGTGATCCTCTATATCAGCTATCCTTGTAGGCTCAGTGTCTTGTGATACAACACTTTGTGCAGACATTTAACAGCTTTTGTTTTGAACATATTGCATGTCTCAAACTCAGTATTCTGTCATCATAAATATTCACATCAGAGATGGACAGTTGTCAAAAAATGGAAACAAAACACACACATACAAATGGACAGGGGGCTTGTTGTTGAGCAGATGTTTTGCCACTAGCCAGCACCTGAAATATTCCAGGGTCGAGCCCAGCTGGACCAGTGTGGGCAGTAGGCGTATCACTTAGCCCAGCCAAACAGAAAAACACCTCTATTGGTCCAAAACACCTCAACACCCTTCCTAGGACAGACCTGCATCACATTTTCCAGAGCAAACTTTGGAAAACAGGCAGTAAACACAGAAAGAGAAAGAGAGAAAGAGGGACAGAGAGAGAGAGAGAGAGAGAGAGAGAGGGTGAAAGAGAAAGAGAAAAAGAGAAAGAGCGAGAGAGAAAAGAGATGAGAAAGACAGATGAGGATCTCTGATGGGAGGAGAGGAAGAAGATAGAAAGCCTGGGTTTCTCTCCTCCAAGTAATAACCTCTCATTACCAGCCTGGCCTCCTCACAAAGAGACTGCAAACATGTGTGGAGGAAGGCCATAAACTGGTTTCCACAGGCTTATTTCTGTTGCTTGTTTGCTGTGGTAAACACTGACGAAGGCAAGAAATAAAAGAGCTCTCACCCCACGAAACAAAACAACATAAGGGGCTGAGGCAAAGGAATATAATGCAACGTATTAGTGCAGATATAAATAAAATATAAAATCAAGCCATGGAAGTAAATAGATTCATTTTTAAGTTAGTTCTCATATAAAATGATATACCACATAGTATATTAAACTTTAACACTATAAGGCAGCCGTGTCTTTCTACCATTGTTGCAGTGGTTTATTATGTGACATATAGAGTCACTGGTGCAGTTATATGATGGTTTGCTACAGCAGCACCCTTTAGTTCATCTTTTGTAAAGTTAACTCACTCTCAATAACTTCCAAGTGCATTTTTTTGTCAGATGAAATTGAATCCTATGAGAATATTAGTCATTTTTTGTAATGAATGGCACATTTTTTTGACGTCTGAGTTCCTCCTCTGAGTGTCTTTTCTCAGTGATGATGAGAGGATGCAGTTAGTGAAAAACAATAAAGATCATTTAACCCTTGAACCACCTGAAAATGAACTCTGCTCCACAGATTGGAATAACATTTAGGAAGCTATAATATTATAAGCAATAAGGTTGTTTTAGTATTAAAATGATCAACTATTTCCTCCAAAGAGACTCAAAATGGTTAGTAGTCAAAAAACAAAACCAAACAACATCAACAACAACAACAAAAAAACTCTAAAAGTTTATGAGGGTAGCTAACTGTATCATTGTCTGTGGTAACCTGCTTATAGTGAGTTTACATACTAAAATAAACCATAGCTTATGTAAATGTGTGTAATGTGATGTCATCAGAATATTTTTTTAACATTTAATATTCAACTACACAGACTTGGCAGTGATAATTGTAGAGAGTTCCCTTGATTGCTGGGTTAAAGTTTGAAAACCAAGCTAACTTAAGAGACAAGCTAGCAAAACAAAACTAGCACTACTTTCTCTGCTTTAAAACAGTGAATACATTAGAAATGAGAGAAAAAAGTGTATTTAGGCCTGTTGTATTTACATTAGTGAAAGTTTTCAGATAAATTTGCAGTTTCACATAACTGTCCCACAAATAGTTGACTTACTCTAACTGTAGATATACACTTAGCTAAATCTGCCATTTAGATACACAACTCTTTTCCTATTTAATTATTAAAACAGCTATTTTCATCTGAGCTTCTCGACTTACCCTTGAAAACACTGATGTAAAGACACTTTATAAAGGACCTCACGTCATGTCTAGTCCACCGTGTTTGTGTCTGTTGTTATTCCAGTGGAGAAAATCCTAATTCATGACTAAAAACGGTGAATTTCTGTCTTTCCCAGAGGTTTTCATTTCGGCTCCCAGGCAAAAGTTGGAGACGGGTTGGTTTTTAAAGGGTGTGGCTTCGTGAAATGTGTCCAATCACAAGCCTGGTGGGCGTTTCCCTGCGCGGCAGAATCACGGAATCTGACTTTGATTGACGTGCCGCATGAACCAATAAAAATCCGGAGCGCCACTTTATGGACAGAGTAGAATCTGAGGGCGGGCTCAAACTGTTTGCAGGAAGTGACGTCTCATCTGAGCAGCATGGACCAAGGATGCATCAAGTTAGCGGAAATAATACCGGAAATTAAATGCGACTAGTTTCAAAGTTATAGTTTATAAAGTACAAGTACTTGCGTGATGTCTATTCAGCCACAAGTTTTGCATAACTTAACCTATTTTAGTCGTGTAATTAAATAAAAACAACAGTCATATTGACGAAGATTGCACATGTGTTGCATTTTTATTTTGTTATCGATCATAATGTTTTTACAATATTTTGTTCTGAAAATAATCGCAGGTGTTTAATGCTTTTGCCTTCCAGCTTGACGCAGGTGCCAGCTGAAGCAGCAGGACTTGCAGTGAGTAAACCACATGCTGAAGTGTGCTGAATGCTTTTTACATTTAACTTAACACATTTAAGTAGTTGCTGTAGCCCTTGTGAGCGTTTTGTTGTTTTAAGTTTTTGCTGCGTCTGTCTCGCGCTTTATCTTAGACGTAGAGTCGGTGCCAGACAGCTAGCAGCAGTTAGCTAACATTAGTCCTAGCAGCAGTACTTTTAGCCAAGGTAAAGGGAAATATTTAGTAATTGTGTACCTAAAATGTGTGTATTCGCATGTGGGTTTGTGTCTGAGTGAGAGAGTCTGAAGTGGCATGCATAAAGAACAACGGATTATTAGTAAGCACCTTTCAATCAGAAGGGACCAGTGAAAAGGTGAGGACTCACTGTTGTGGTCAGTGTTGACAACTGTGACAGTCTCTTACTTAAAGCTGAACCTATGTCCAAGCTGTATTAAAATGTGTTGCATATTTGTTTAAGTCGTAAATATTGTTTTCTGTGAAACATCTGTACAACCCAGTCATGGTGGTGGTTTAATGTTGGTGCTCCTCACATAGATCAGTCATGGTGGTGAAGAAGAAGACCGCCAAAGTTGAGGCTGTGGTGCTGGAGGAGGAGAAACTCCACAAGCTGATAGGTAAGTAGGCTTCACTACCGATGAGCAAATTAAATATTTTTATTTAAAGAAAAGATGTGCGCCCATAAAGAGTAGTGAGGTTGAACAGTCCATATTTGTGTATCCTCCACGAGGTTGCATATACTTAGGCCTAAAATTAGTTGATAGTTAGAATTTGTTGGGTACTTGCTTATTATTACGTGTTAGTTGCAAATCATGGCTTGCAATCAAAGAGCACAGTAAGCTTGCTATTAGGGTCCATCACTGAGCCAGAGCTGCTGCTCACATGATGAACAAAAAAAGACATTCAAGTGTGTTTTAAGTGCCAGTTGCCACAGTGCAAAGAATCATCAAAGACACAAGGAGCTCCACACTGTCTGGGAACAATCTCAAATGGTCTCAAAGGCCAAGAACCATTCATGCATCACCATCAACGACATCCTGATGAAACTGAGCAATTCTAATACCAACATCAGGAGGCAGACAGTGCACAAGGCTGATCTCATTGGACGCTGACCAAGGAGGACTCCACTTCTCCAAGATGGGCACAGAAATGTTTGCTTAGCCCGTGTAAAAGCTCACCTGAACAAAGAAAAAACCTTTTGGTCATCGATTCACTGGTCAGTGAGATGAAAACAGAGCTATGTGGACACATGGATGTGTCTTTTGTTTGGTAAAAGGACGCAGAAACCTTCAACCTCAAGAAAACCATCCTCATGGTCCAGCTTGTTGGTGGGAATGTAATGCTTTGGGGGTGTTTTTCAGCTAGTGGGACAGGCAACCTTGTTAAGGTAAAGACATCAAAACTGGACTGGATCTTCCAATAAGACATTATGCTTAAACATGAAATCCAGACCTGAATCCCATCGAGGATCTGTGGCGGGAACTTAAGACTAGACTGATGGTAAAGGAAGCCTACCAACCTCAAAGACCTAGAGATTGTTGGAGAAGAGGAATGGAGCAAAATCCCAGTCGAGACATGCAGAAAGCATTTTAGCAAGTACAAGAACTGCTTGATGGATGTGCTGGCAAAAAAAAAGAAAAGGTTTTGCCATTGTTTACTGACAAAAGGCATTAACAAATTTGGACACAATATTTAAAGAAAAAATGCAAAAGGAAGTAAAATATAACAAAAAAAAAATGCTAAAAAATGTGAGTATTGGCATCTCAAACACTGTACCCAGTCTTTTGTTACTTATTTATGTCATTTTCATCCAGAGGAAGCTCATTAAAAATCCTCTATAAAGTAAAATTTGATGTGAATATAAAGAATTTTAGGCTGTATGTTGCAGACAATGTGTTTTGATTTTTTCTAGCATCCCTCTCTATTGATGGAGGAGAAGATGGAGTCAGGCAGGTTGCCCACACCCTGCAGTCCTGTTTGGAGCTGACGGAGCCGGTGCAGCAGATCCAGCTGGTTAAAAAGGTGTGTTCAGTGGAAAGCACAGGATTTTTTTTAGACAAGATTTCTAGCCTTGTGTTGCCATACAATACATGACTGGAGTGTGTGTGTGTATACGTACAGGCAGGATCCCAGCTGGAGGCCCTGACTAGAGAGCAGTCTGACGGAGTCCTTTTAGATGCTTGTCTACATACTCTAGCTCTGGTCTACACCTCCCTGCAGGCCAAGAACCCTCTACGACGAGCCATTGCCAGGTACACCGATACATTCTAGTGTCATTATTTTGAGCTGTCATTTGTTGAAATAAAAAAAAAATGGAGATGTAGAATCACCAATGAGTTTGCATCTACATGCTACCACCAGCCACCTACTGTCATTTTGTCAC